CTGGGGAGACCTTGGGATCAAATTCCGCTTTGAATGTTGATGCTCGTTGGAGGTCATATAACAGGAACTCAAACAGAGGAACATCAAAATCAAGGAACATGAGCAGGAGAAAATCAAAGCCTAGACAACAAACAACTTGCTGGAATTGTGGCAAAACATGCCACATAAAGAAAAAATGCAAAAACCCGAAGGTCACAGATACTGACAGTGCTAACATAGTAACTGAAGAAGTACAAGATGCATTACTACTTGCAGTTTACAGCTCTGTTGATGACTGGATATTGGATTCATGGGCATCCTTTCACACCTCTTCTCTTCGGGAGATCATGAGAAACTATATTGCCGGTGATTTTGGAAAGGTGTACTTGGCTGATAGAAGAGCATTGAACGTTGTGGGAACTGGAGACATTGACATTGCACTTACTAATAGGAACATGTGGACCTTGTAGAATGTTAGACACATTCCTGAGTTGAAGAAAAATTTAATTTCCGTAGGACAGATCGACGACTCGGCCACTCGGTAATGTTCTTAAATTGCACCTGGAAGGTTACTAAAGGAGCACTGGTATTGGCTTGAGGCAAAAAGACTGGTACTCTTTACATGACTGACTGTTCTAATGACACCATTTCTACCAACGCTGTAGAGATCACCGCAGAGTTGTAGCAATGTAGGCTTGGCCATATGAGTCAGAAAGGTATGAAAGAACTTCTGTCAAAAGGCAAGCTACCAGAGCTAAAGTCAGTTTCTTGAAGAGTGGCAGAGCTTTAAAATCAGGAAAGCTAGATCTTTTACATACAGATGTATTGGAACCCTCTCCAGTGGCGTCTCTTGGAGGTTCTAGATATTATGTCACGTTCATCGACGACCACAGCAGAAAGGTGTGGCTCTATTTTCTGAAATTTAAATCTGATGTATTTGATGTGTTCAAAAGGTGGAAGGCCCTAGTTGAGAAAGAGACAAACCTGAAGCTGAAATGCTTAAATTCTGACAATGGTGGAGAATACATTGATGGAGGATTCAAAGAGTACTGCGCAGATCATGGTATCACAATGGAAAAGACCATCCCTGGGACACCATAACAAAATGGCGTCGTAAGCGCATGAACAAAACTATGAATGAGCGTACTAGGAGTATGAGGCTGCACGCAGGGCTACCACCTACATTCTGGGCAGACGCAGTTAACACTGAGTACGGACTACTTGAGGAGGCTTGGAGAGGAAAAGAGGTTAAGCTTTCCCACTTAAAAACCTTTGATTGTATTTCTTAAGTTCTTGTTGATTCCAATGCTCGCAGCAAACTTGAAGCAAAATCAATAAAATGCTATTTCATTGGTTATGGAGACGAGTCATTTGGTTATCGATTTTGGGATGAGCAGAGGCGAAAGATTATTAGGAGCAGAAACGTGGTGTTCAATGAGAAAGTCATGTACAAAGATAAATCTAGCACAATTGCTGATATAACTCTTCAACCGTTCGAGTTCGTGAATTTAAATGACCTTCCAGAGGTCACAGTGCAATGTAGAGACATGGGTAACAGTGAAAGTGGACCCAGCACCTCCATTCCACAGTCTGATCCAGAACTATCCACACCTATAGCTACAATTCGGAGGTCTACTGGGACTATTCGACCCCAGCATTTTTCACCCACACTGAATTACATTCTGTTGACAGACGATGGAGAACCGCAAAGTTATAAAGAAACCTTGCAAGATGAGAATTC